AAGAAAGTCGACTTCTTATCCCCAGAGGGACCTCCGCTCGGTAGGGCTCGCCAGGATTTCACAGGATAGTCGAATATTAATTACACTTTTTAATTCAATCTAAAGATTCCCCATGCAAATTTATGATCGACGGTGTTAATAAATATTAACTATATTGTATAAAGCGTGAGCGCGGAGGCAGCCAAGCTCGTTTCTCTAGACTCTTCTGAAGTCTACCGGGTGCCCAGCCATGCGCCTCGGAGCACGAGGCTCCCGGCACGCTCGCACGGGTACATTTTCCCACAGCCCTAAAGCAGCTTTGTAATGCTTCCACGTTGAGTTTCGTTTAAAGTTTTTCGTCTAATCCGCCGGAATGCGTCGTTCGAGACGTCTCGTGTTCTGGCTTCCCCGTTGAAGGGAGACACAGCGAAGGAGAGACAGACAGAGAAGGATAGAGAGAAAGGGAGTTAAAAAGGGAGAGAGAAGTGCAGAAGCCGGACGAGGAGGTAAGACATAACGGCAACAGAGGGAAGACCATATTCCCCTCGTTATCCTTGGGAAAGAAGGAAAGAAAGGTTAGAGGGAAGACAGTGCCGTGCCGTAATGTCCTTTGGCACCTGCTTCTTGCTCGGTAAAAAGAATTCTCGAGGTCTCGCCGACCTTTCTTTACGGGCCAGAATATGCTCGCGCCCGAAGGCAAGGGACTTACGACTTGGCGCGTTAAAATCGTCAGGATCTTTCGTGCGCGACTTTGAAAACGAGATCGGATGAGCTGAGGAAAAAAAAAGAAGGATAATAATAATAATAATAAATCGCCCTTTCGACTCGCGAGATTTCATCCAGTCGAACGAGAAGGACGCCTTTGGTGACGTTCGAGCAACAGAATCGCGGAATGACATGGCGAGGAATGTTACGAATTCGGCATTGAAGGCTGATAGCAGGGAGTGGCACCGAGGCGTGTATCCGGTTCTCAGCCGTCGAAGAGAACGATATAAATGAAGCTGATTTCTATGCCAGCTAGGGGCATCGCGACGCGTAAGCTTCCAAGTGCCTTCCTATTTCAAAGGGCAAACGTCTCCGCACTCTACTTACCGACGATTAATAGTCCGTCAGGATTAATGGCTGGCAGCAGCACAGCTCGTACGAGCGAGAGAAGGACGACAGAGTAGGCGTAAAGGAGGAGAAAGAGAGAGAGAGAGAGAGAGGTGCGAGGGAGAGAGAATCAAGACGAAAGTAAAGGTATATATACGGTGACACTTTCGATTTCATATTATACGATGTCACTCAGAAACGACCTTTAGGTCGAGGAACCAATTAGAGAATTTAACGATCTCTTCACTGGTATATCCACTACTGACCCCCTCGCCCTGTTATCACCGTTCCCATGGAGCTCCAGGTTAACCTTTTCCGGAAGACTTTAACCATCCCCCCCCTTCGTCCTACCTGTTATGTAAATAACGTAACGCGAGACATCGTTTATTCAGCGACCGTAGGGGCGGGACAAACTTCCGGTCCCCAAAGCACCCTGGGCCCCGGGTAGCTAATAAAACTTCTCGCTACACGTGGCCATCATGTCGGACGTCAGAAGGGCGAGAAAGGTGAAGAGGATTAAGTGGCAATTAGTGCAGCTAAAAAGGGAGAAGAAACGGAAAGACATTCAAGGAGTAACTAAGAGAGGTTGCTTCGAAATAGGGACTAACGCTCAGTAACGTTCTGAACCACGTGCGTTTATCGACGTGTATCCACATACTATATTACGTGTATAAGATGAGATAGAACGCAGAATAACACCTGCGTGTATGAAAATGTAACATCAATTCTTCCGAGGAGAGTGGAAGCAACCTTCGAGTTTCGGCGGGGATTTCGTTACTGGGTGAGCATTGAAATTCGATAGAAGAGCACCCAATAGAAAAAAACTGATACTTTCTGGATATCGACCTATGTAGGTATATACGTATACATATAGACCGTAGTTGTCCGTAAGCACAGCGACTTTCTTTCCTTTCGTTTAATCGTCTACAGTCGACATGACTCTGCACTCCTCTTAATTAAGAACTCTCGAATTCTTGTGGAGGTCTATAGAAATCGAAGAGACTGCGAGACACTTGCCGTCACCTTTTCTCTTCGCTGTGACAACGTCGACGTCGTCTCAAAGTAGGAAAAAGGTCAGAATGTCGCAGTGTCCATTAGTCCTATTTGTTACAGGAATCGATAGGCTATCAGACCCTGTTTCTATGTGGGATTGTTCATCGTCGTTTTCCGTGAGTTCGACAAAGTAGTACATACCTTAACGTCATTGTACAATATATATACATGTATGTACTGTAACGTATTTTTCTTAACTCGACATCGATAATGTAAATCCAAGAGTTAATCTACGTCTTCTTCGGCCGTCGACCCTCAATCTGTGCATCCGCATGTCAGGTGGGCGCCAGCCAATTTTAGTTTCACCGGGAACCGACGAGCCGGTATGGCCTGGAAGTTGAGGATCTTTGGGGTCGCGTAAAATCAGCAAACGCACCTGGACGCACGAGCGAGAGCGGACGGTTACGGAAATGCGCGGCCGCTCAGGCTGCTAGGCTGAGGTAGAGAAGGTCGGAGTAAGGGTCAGGTAAATAGTGCCGGCAACATAGAGCAATTGATCGACGACATAACAGACCGAACCGGAGCTACAAGATCGAAATCCCCCCAGGAATTAATAAATTGAAAGTCCTTGCCGGAGCTGGTTCGGCTAATCCGCGAAGGCCGAGAACTGTATCCAGGGGACGCTCGGGTGGGCACTGCACTAGAGCACAGCACAGCACCTCCGAAACATCGGCAGAAAATCAGTAAGATTTTCTGGATATCGCGAGAACCAGACAAGCGAGATCTTTCTGTAGCGTAATGGGAAACACGGCTAGAAAAACTATCAACTGCACGAGAGCGCGAGGTAGCTCGAGGCACCTCGATCGGTGTCCCGAGACAGACTGCCTTGACAATAGTCAAATTCGGGAGCTAATCTTTCTGGTTGGTCGAGATCTTTATAGCCGATGACTCCCCGCGAGTCGTCCCTTTAAACTACATCGAGAGCGTTCCTCGGCCAATCGGTACGTAACAAATCGAAGATCCTCCAGTGCCGTTTCCCCAGAGTATCGGGCGACGGCTGGGCACAACAACCATAACTCGGGTCAGGGGGCTCCTCCCCTGTCATTAACCGTAACAAACTCGACTGCCCACTCCACAGCCCTTTGGCACTCTCCAGCGGGGTGCTGGTATCTGGGACGGACCTCTGCCCATCCGTGGAAACGTCTCCGTCGGGTACTCTCCTCTGTCGGGCAACTCGGTACGTGGAGACTATCTCCCCACGGCAGATTCGAGCATCTCGACTTCAACTCAATGACAAGAAATCTTTCCGAGAGCATTGGCGTAACGGTATGAATGAAACCTAGAGCGTAGCTTCTGAGCAAGGTGGCGACTCGAAGGAACCCAGAAAGCGAGAACGTTATCCGAATCGGTAGCTAGCGTCGTCTTATGGCCGTGAGTTGAAATATCACGTACATATAGAAATATATATCATTACTTATTTACATGCTGTCTTTTTACGGGAAGTCATTCTTTCTCGTCACAACTGTATAGAATAGTTATTTACGAATTTTACGTTCATCCAACGACACCAAACTCTGACGGTTTAAAGGCTCAAGACTGAATGGTGAAACCGGAACTATGAACTGTGTACTCCACTTGAATGATCTCTACGACCCAGGCTGTCACGCTGGTTGAAAGTGCCGATATGTTTGCTATCGGTCAATATTTGCCTATGCTTTCTGATTCGTCATCTCGTCACTTCCTGCTTCTAAATGGCGCATCCCTCCCCCAAGTACTCGAGCCCTTTGCCAATCGGTATTCACGGATCGATTTTATGCTTGAACCTTCAACCAGGTCTGTTAGTAGGAAATAGAAGATATGATGAAATTGTCATACGTGTTAAGAGGATAAGAGGAAGAATGTATGGGAAACGTATGAAAATAAATCTGATACGTTCCCAATGTAGAAAAACCCTCAACGCGAATTCTTACACGTTAGTGAAAGATCTTTTCATCCCTTAATTCAAGCTCACCTTAAAAGCTTAAGGGTCCAACGTGATTTCACAAACCGGAATACCGGCTGGCTATAAGCTCCTTTCTAAGCCTATAGAAAACTTCCCCGGCAAAAATTCCCACCAATGACTTATCGGCGTCTTCGGTTTCGCTTGTGAAAATCTTCCCTCATGCTCGCCGCGCGCCCTCTGAACAAACTGCTTATCCCAAACCGTATAACGTATGTGTGTTTCCATGAAAAAAAAAAAAAACCTGTTCGCGCCATAGGATGCCAAGTGGTTCTTCTAAGTGGATGACATTAGTCATAAGGGAATCCTGCGGTTAAAAATGAGCTGGTGCTTACGGAAGTGAAAAAAAAAAAGAATGAATCTCTCACCCACTTTTTCACTGAATTTTTCGACTTCACCGATGTCACTTTTTCGTGATGTACTAAAATATCATTATAGTACACCGATGCTGATTCTAACGAATATAGAACGCCTATCCACGTCGCCAACGCCTTCCAACTAATCAGGCTAACGGGTTTTCCTCTTTGGCAGTATCAGTGCCTGTCAATTTTGACGTTTGACGCATCCACGTGGCTGTATGTACCTACGTACGTTTCGTCGGAGGAGTATAGGGGAGGACAAGAGAAGGAGGGTTACCTCCGATCAATAGACCGAGGAAGGGTCGTGGAAGCGACTGGCGACCGCTGTCTGGGCATCGATCCCTACATTACCTATATGTGCCAACGTATACGTACTTTCTCTCCTGAGTTTTTTGACTTCTTTTTTTTTTCTATTCCGCGGTTCCAGAAATTGTGATAAGAAATTAAAAAATTTTTTGAACCTACACTTGTCTTTTATATTTGAACGAGAAGGCTTCTTTAAAAATTTCGTATTGGCACGTTATACGAGTAAACTGTTCTTTTTTTTTATATTACAAAAATTCTTTGTGTTCACTCACCCCTACTGCTTCCGGTGACCTTATCTCGGAGAACATTGATCTGATGAACCCGGCCGAATTCCTCGAACATCGCCCGAAGATCATTTTCGTCCATGCTGCGAGGTACCTGACCCACGAACATTTTTATGTAGTCAGGATCCGGTTGTTCGACGCTGTTATTGTTCATAATGCTGAAATAAAAGAAATGAACAATTCAGTTTATTATATCTTTTGTTATAATAAATATAGTTAAGCGAAAAGAGCCATGCTGGCAATATCGAAAATGAAATTAAAGAGATTCAATGACTTCATCCTCCATGAAATCAATCCGATTTAACCGTAATAATAATTCTCCCTTTTTCGTTTCGTGGGATCCGCAAGCATTCGACTGAACGAAAGGGTTGCGTGGTTTGCAGGTAGCGATGATTTATATGTAACGTTGAGCGTGGCTGGTTATATGAGCGGAAGGCATTACCGTTTCACGCTAGTGACGCGACAGTTTGTTGCACCATAAAATCGTGCTTGCATAAAGTTCCTGGTCGAAACAGTGACCCGGTAGCAGGCTGGCTTATTCGCGATGCTAAATCTCGGAACTTTGAAAAGGCTCGACAAGTAACGCAGAATAGAAATGTTAATGGAAATAGAATATACGAAAAAGGACAACGTAAATGAGGTCAGTAAGAAATAAAAGAATATATCTAAAACTGTAAACAGAAGAGAGAAATTAAGCAAGGATATAAATAATTCAAAATCCTCGAGCAAATTGGCATATATGATTAAGGACTAAATGAGATTCAGCCACGTGACTGATTTTACAGAACATCACAAAGGCCCGTCTCTTAAAGTTAATATTAGCTGCTGAGGTTTAAAGTGATTTTACGCTCCGCTTGACCCCTCCTATCTCGTCCAATACGTGCCCATCACGTTATTGGCCAGTTCAAGAAGACGATGCTCCTACTGCCCAACTTTGGTCATCCTGCCTGTACGATTCTCGAAATTTCTCTTTGAAATTTCTACAGCGTCGGTTCCGGGGTTGCTGACCATTCACAAGGCATGTACCCACGCACTCTTACATGTGTGTAAATCGTAGGGTGCCTTTCGGTGACCCGATAAATTTTTACTTAGAACGCAGTCTAAGGGGAAAGCTCCCAGACCTCGTTCCTGGACTATAGCAAAGAAATCGTGACGTGTAGTTCGATCAGCTCAGGGTTCACGGGAGTGGAGCTAATTTCGAGGGTTGATGTACGTACATCGGCTGCTATCTTATCGGTAATAGAGAGCACTGCTCCTTCGGCGTCTATCGAGATGGCCCAAGGATGAGGTCAGAGGTAGAGAAAACTGAGATGGCTGGGTAGAAGAGAGATGGAAGAGAGGTGGAAGAGAGGGAGAAAGAGGGTGGCTCTAGGAGGCTATGGGTTCCTCCGGGTTGGTCCGATAGGTAGACTACATCAAAGGAGCGCACTTACGACCCTAGCACATGCCTCTTCAGCTTACCTACTCGTTTCCTTCCCTCCATCTATCTCCAACCTCCAAGGTAACCTTACCGTTCCTCCTGAACTCGTGCCATAGGCTGATAACGTATCCTTGTCCAGGATACTCGAGACCCTCCAAGAATCTGATGTTTCCCGGTGTCATTTGAATTTCTAGAGCTATCCTGACGAACGCATCGGAAGACTACCTAAGTCGGACTGATCCTGACTGCGAATAGGGTAATTTTGTTCTATTGGATTTTAAAGAACTGCTCAAGCACGTAGGTAGAACGTCACTCGTCGCTGAAGGATGACACCGAGCAGTCGACACTTAAGACGCAAGGGGATCTGAGTAATGACGAGCGTATAGAGTCACCAAGTTAAAGGTATCCAGCAGCACTGGCTCTGCCGTTAGCTCGCGAAATATATGTGATGAACTTGGAAAGTTACCGAGCCTCGACGAACAATGGTCTCGCGGAGTTTCGTTTCACGGCCCCGGCGGCCGCCACTTTCGAAACTTCGCCAATATTTTAGAGGTCGGAGTGTACACACTGAATTCTCGCGGCACTTCTCGCGAGCGACCTTGTAACGTTTCCTTGGGGAGCTCTTAGCTGGCGCTTGGGATCGGACTCTACAGGGTGGTCTTAACCCTGATACAGTAGGGTCCAGCATATAACACCATTCAAAGTGAAGAAACGCAACTGAAACGAAGAACATCTCTCAAGGATACTTGATTCAGGACTTTCTCGAAAATTTATTTATCCACAGCCAGAAAGTGGGTTGCGTGGAGAGTACTGGATAGCGACGGTGCTGGACCCTGTCGTCAGAGACTAAATCGATGCTGAGCCTAAGAGTGTAGAGGATTCCTCTAGCGGAAGTTCCGGACTGCGGAAGGCTATAGTGAGGATGGTCGGGAGGTACCTAATAGAGTTTATGGGACAGACTAATTAGGAAGAGCAAGGATGCTCGGGAATGGAGACAGTGTCCCATGGGATGATCCAAAGGGGACAGTTCAGTTTAAACCACTTTCGCGACACGACAAAACTCTCGGAAGTATACTTTCGAGCTATATGCGCGCAAGTTCGTTCGATTATAAAGTAAGGTTGAGTTGAGTCACTCTGAGAAGGCTAAGCTATTTTCCCAGCGGCGTCACAGCATAAAGATTCTAAAGCCAAGTGATCCTATAGTACGATAACAAAGGAGCTGCTATTCTCCAAGAGTCTATATGTATACATACCGGGGGTCTCTTAGTCCAATTTCGTGACTATAGTATTTCTCATTAAGTAGCCTCCGTCCACCCTTAGTTTTCCCTACGTTCAATTCTTCGCAATAACCTAACCTAACAAAGCGGCCGAACCGCCGGGACACCAGCCGCCTTTATTACGCCGAGGACCAATGAAATGAGTGACGCGGTGGTTCATGTCCCAGGGAGACATATTGATTCTTGGATAAACAAAAGACAGAAAGGAAGAGAAATGACCCAAGGGCGTCGACCGGGCTCTTCGCAATACTCGATAGAATTCTGTTCACCATCAAGTGCCCATACCTCATTCCCATATCCTTCGGTGCAATTCACTCCCTTTCTTGTTTTGTTCCATTCTTCATGCCTTAGAAAGGATTCAGCGGTGGAGGATATGTGGAGGTACAGGACGATATCCAAGACGCAGAGACTATAGCTCCTCCAGCGCGGATCCCAAATCAATCTGTATCACTTAGACTGCATCGGCTATAGGGGTTGCCATTTTCCCTAGCCACACTGATATTTCAGGCTGTGCAGTTTATTGGCTAAAGTGCCGCCGGAAATTCGATTGCACCACTGAGCGTTCGTGCGGGCTCTTGCTAGTAGGTACTCACGGGACTGGAAACGTGGCAACGATATCCATATTGTTGCGAGCTTGTGTAACACAGGGCTCTGTTGTCCGATAATAACGTCATATCTCCCTCCGTTAAGCATTCATAGATGCGCGACTTTACATATGTATATTATAATTTCAAAGGAAAATTATACGGACTGGCAAAGCGTACTTCCCTGCGAGAGACATTATGCGCCCAGCTGCATAAAGCCAGTGCCCATAGTTTTCAATAATCCAAACGTTTCTTGACCCACATTGTAAGCAAATATATAAATATTAAAACTACGTACAGTCGCTTCAGCGTAACTCTGTCACTTTTTTGTCTTTCCTCTCCCCCACCAGCAAGATCAATTGCAGTACTTATCATTGAAATACAACCGATCTCCTATTTACAAATGCATACCAGGCCTTAATCGAAGGGTGGCTATCATTTAATCTCCCTCAGACCTTAACGAAGTACAAAGTAACCCGACAAATTTCTTAATCTCTCTGTACAGTTCGATTCAAGTGCCCTCAAAGCTTTCGGCAATTTTCGCGCTTGTTAAGGCTGTATTTATTTTCATTTTACTACCCCCTTTTACTTTTATCCCTGTTTCTCGTCGACGAGTTAATTTTCAATATTTCACGTTTCCATTGTCTCGATACACCCTCACCCTCACACACCCTCACGTTTTATCATAATAAACCACGTCGGGGTTTCAGGACTTTCAAACACCCTCCCGCCGCCGCTCACACCGCGCAACCAGAAACCCGATGATCCTCCCTCAACTTACCTGAATAAAAATTAATCTGCTAACGAACAAGTAATTGGAATCCCAGTAACGTATTCGTCATCCCCCGAACAAAAGTCCAATTTTTCATCTGACGCCGATAAGGGCTAGGATTCAGTAGTCAAGAGGTCGCAGTGGAAGGACCGGCATAACTTTGGCGGTATTTCAACGGCAATAGGCAGTGACTGTCGACGGGTCACAACGTCGACGTAACCCTGCAAACTCGACCCAATTCTCGCTCGGTAAAACAGCAAACCCGCTCGCTCCGGTTTGCCGATGGTAAACCAGCCCCCTTGCTCAGTCACCCTCTACGATCCTCGACGGCACAGAGTAAACGCTTTCGCTCCGACGATTAACTCGAGTTTTGAGTGTTTGGAATGTCGAGTAGGTAAACTGCATCCAGTCACGTACACAAATGGGCGACTGCCATGTGACTGGCTGACTTTGCGCGCGAATGCACCTGCAGGATGGATAAACCTGGCCGATCATAGATATCAAGCCAAGTCCTCGCAAGATAGAGAGTGAAAACACACAATGTTATTATACACACACATGTATACATATATATATATATATATATATATATATATATATATATATCGTATGCACATATCAGAGCCTAGATTTTCTCTAGTTTATCGCGCAGGAGTAGCAGGTAGCATTTCAAACGGCACATTTGAGACTGTTTTTCAGCTGACGTATGCAAGATAGCCGATTGGTGTGCGGGACGCTAATGACGACGCATCCGCAAGTCCGTCCGTCGGTGGATCCGTCACTCCGACGTGGTAACGGCTGGCAGCAGTGGCGCTGTGACCTGTCGGGAAAATCAAGATGTCGCAACATGGCGCGCGTTACTATGTGACAGGACAGATGCCGAAGGGGTGGGGGCTGGCAAACGATGACGGGTATAAAAGTGTCAATTTTAATTATTAAATCAATGAAAATTGGAGTTGCCTGTAGGTATGTGCAGACGTCTAGAGTTATTTTAGTTGACGTGCTACAGTAGTGTACATCCCAGGCGAGTTATCTCGCTAGTAAATAAGAGGCGGATCGATAAGAAGACATTCGACACTATCTTCACAGTCAGCGGCGTCAAGCC